GCATTAGGTAGTGGAATAATTGCAGGCACGTGCCATTGCATCAGTTAGGAGAATTCTGATCTGCAGGATAAGGTTGCTAGAATATATTAAATACATATGAACCAAATTCCATCATCTTAAGTAGTCAGTGATAAAAGTCCTATGACAGGCAGAGAAGCGAGCAAACAACAAGCTGCTTTATTGCTTCCCTTTAATAACTGCCAGCTGAATTTCACATTCTTGAGCCAACACAGAATATATTTCATAGCACAGAGTGGGGGATGGTTTGCCCAGTTACAGCTATGGATTGCAAGGCCAAATTATCCAATGCAGCTGGATGGACAGATTGACTGGATTCTCACACACTTGGAGACCTGGTTTACGCTTTACTGAAGAAAGCAGGATTGGTTGGGTGAACAAAACAGATGTATGTATCAGATGGGTAGGCTTCAACTCCCAGAGTTCTCCAGACCATTGCTGAGAACTCTAGGAATTGATGTCCACACATCTGAAGAACATTCAGGTTAGGGAAGACAGCCATTATCCATGGTTTACAAATACATGGAAAGAGAATCTCTACATTTAGAGGCAGTATATCTCAAAATACAAGTTGATGGGGGACAAACAGAAGCAAAGGCCCATTTTCCTCCTCCTCCTCCTCCTCCTCCTCCTCCCCATATGCTGTTTGTGGGCATCTTGAAGGTATTTGGCTACCCATTATGGGAAACAAGAATGCTAAACTGGATAGACCTCTGCTGGGGTTAGTTTTTGTTAGCTCTTTAGTCAGTTATGTTGACTGAACAGAGCCTCCATGTTTATATACAGTATACCATAGAATACTGGTTGCTGGGAATAAAGGCTCTACTCTTTCCATATCTCATTCCTGTTTGATTTTCCTGTTGGCATCTGCTTAGCTACTGTGAGAATCAGGATGTTGAATTCAGTGAAATATTGATCTGAACCAGTTGGGCTCTTTGTATGGTATCTTTTCCACATCTTCAACCCCATATTACAAGAAGCAAGAAGAAATGTTGTGGATTGCAACTCCCAGAAGTCTCATCACCAATGAGACTTTTTAAGGCAACTGAAGGGAGGGAGATTCTTAATGCCACAGGGCATGGTCAGATTTAATTAATTTTAATTCAATTTCACTTTAAATAAATTTAACTCAATGGTTGATTTTATCTTTTGCCCCTTCCACTTCTACATCCTGGACTGTACCACTTCTTCAGATGTCTCTCCCTTGCCTTCTCCCCCACCCACATGCCACCCTCTAAGCTTTTGTGCAAATATGATGATTTTCAATTCCACCAACTGTGTTATTTTCTTTTCTGTGTACTTCAGTACCCCATGACAGCAATTATAGCTGACCCTGAAGGTCTTTGATTTAATGTAATCTGTGTCCCCAAATACATACTCTCTTGGGCTCCAGGAGTGAAGAAAATGGTGCCAAGAGCTGTTTTAAATGAGCTATTGAATAATTAACATTTTCAGAGAAGCTGGTTCTTATTTGCAATGGGAATATTTACCTGACTGATTCATGCACTCCACTCAGCTATGGTTTATTTATTTACTTGCAGTTTATGGAATAAACCACAATTGGTTGGGTTCACACAACTCATTAAGCATCTTCATGAACATCTGGAGCTTTGCAATGGCACAAAACTTTAAATTTTGTGTAGTTTGATTTTAATTTTAGCATTTTTTTTAACTTACTGTATTTAGGAACTGATTTATGTTTTTATTTATTAACTCTGAAAACTACCAGGAGTTTGTATGCTTTGGCAGTATATCTGAATTCTTGGAAATAAATGCATTAAACAAATAAGCTCTGGGCTATGATTTACACACTACACAGAGTGAAAGCCAGCTAAATCCCACAGTGACCTAGCATGTGATGTGAAGCAAGTCTAACAGAGATTTTCATGGTAAGAACAAGGGTATGATGAGGCTCTCATATCATCTACAAAGCTTGAGATGACCACTAGATTGCTGCAAGGTATCAGACTTTTCGGCCTCTCACTACTGCCATCTAGTGCTCATCTATCTTTTTACAGTTGTAGTGGTGTGTGGGAATGACCTTGGGAGACAGGTGGAAGAGTCACAGACTAGACAATGGTTAGATAAGAGGCAGCTGAGTCTGCAGAAGGAATGTGGGAGTGGCAAATGTCTCAGAAGGGACCCTCCCTAGTTTCTTGGACTGTAAAGGTGATGGGAAGAGATGTACTTTCAGACTTGCAAGATTCTGTTAATGTAACCTTATAATAAAGTTTGTAAGGCCTAGCCCAAGGAACGCCAGGAGACCATGTAGATTCAGTTCAGCAATGTTTATTAGCTACAACCTC